AATAACCTGCGATTGCACTGCATATGTTTAACTGACAAAGGGGAGTTTACCTGCTCCAGGTTTCCACTGTAGGACAGGAGCCACTGTCGCAGGAGGACTGGAGAGCGGAGTCAGTATCTCCCTCTCCTCGGCCATCTCTCGCTCCTTTTCCATTTCCTGCTCGAGTAAAGAGCGGGACAGAGCCAGCGCCACCATTGTGTCCTCTTCCAACTTCTGGGCTTTCCTCCTGGCTCTCTTTTTTACAGGCACACCATCCCTCCTAGTTATCGTACCACTACCTAGCTGCTGTCTAAATAAGCATCCACAAATAACCAGTGATGAAATTATTTTAAAAAGTCATCTATTTTTAATAACTATATGTTTTACTTTTCTTAAACCAGGTTTTCTTGACAGTTAAGCACATTTTCCTCCCTATTTATATTTACTGTAGTGCATACCGATATTTTACTTGAGAATGTATGATTTTTGATAATGTTTTAAATTTAAATCAGCATAAGGTGCAAAACAGTACTGTGCTGTATACATACTTTCCAATTACTGTGATGAAAATGAGATTTTTTGCATTACAGTAATAAAAGGTGAAGATAAAAATGTGCATAATAGTCAAGAAAATGTCACATTGAAAAAAAAATGTTCTGCATGTTTTTTGTTATTTTTTGAAGTATAAAAATGTATAACTTGTATACATATAAAACTAAGTATATAAATTCAAGTATATATATATATATATATATATATATACATAAGTGTGTATATATGCACACATCTAAGTATATAGTATCACAAAAATCTAATAAAATCTAATAAAAATGTAATAAATGGCTGACTTACGATTGGTCAGTGGTGCTGTCGCTCGCTGTCTCGGCAGCCTGTCTCCTCAGAGCCTGGAGAAGATCATTTGGTTTCACACCCATATCAGTCGAGCAACGCTTTAGGTGGACAGACCGGCTTTTTTCTGATTTAAAACTCTTTCCACAAATGGGACACTCTGGGACCCGTGGTCTGGGGTGGGAATGATGGGATGCTGAAGGAGCGCTGCTCTCGCTTGCATCTAAACATCTACGAAGCAGGAGAACGAGACCGATGTCAAAAGTGAAACTCATCCCATGTGTGGAATATGAATGATGCCTCATAATGCAGTGTACAGTGGTGATAACGCACCTGTTGATGTGCTGAGTGCGCAGTGGAGGGCTCATGGCTGACAGATCTTTCTGACAGAGCTGGCAGAAGAACAATCCTTCATCTTCCACGTCTCTAGAGGACCGAGCCTCACGATCCAACTCCTGCTGGAGCTGAAGAGCCAGGGCCTCATCGCTGCTCACATCTTCTGTAGAACACACACAAACACATACACGTTTTGACTTTCACTGATTACATGAAACATGCCATAAAAGCATGTTTTTTTTTTTGCTGTTTTTTTTACAATTATTGCAAATTTTTAAAAAAATCAGATGTAATATAACATTTATAATATTATTTTTTTTATTTTTTATTTTTCAATTCCAAAATTGGATACTTAAGGTCAGGAATCGGATACTTGTAAAATTAAAATTGAATTCCACCTATCAATTCCTGTGTGTATATCTTTTTTTTTTTTAAGCGGCGAAAAGGGGCTGTTAAACATGTATTTGTCTTTGAATAATTCATTCAAGAGATTCATTCAAAAACACTGATTCATCCAGTAATGAAAATCTTGAGTGAGTCATTGAATCATTCCATGCATCAATTCCATGAGATTTTGTTTAGTTGTCTAATATTTTTTCTTCAGAATTGTGAAATACAACCTCATAAAAAAAAAACATAAGTCTCAATTTATCCAGAATCATGCTTCTCTTTTTTGCACACAAACAGTTCTTATCGAGTCCAGTTTTTATGTAGCCGGCTGATTTTTGTTCATGGCAAAAAGAGACACAGGTTAAATATGTTTGATATCTAAATGTCTGACTTCATTTTTTAACCACATTGGAATCAAAACCGGGAATCGATAAGCAGAATCGGAATCGATAAAATTAAAATGATACTTTAGACAAATTACTTTTATTGATGACGTTAAAAGTCTCAAGCCATAAAGACATGTACATTTGATTTACAATGATATTTTGTTTTCTGAATTGTGTTTTTTTGAGTTGCAAGTTACAAAGCGATCCATTTTTATGACTGTTTTGAACCGTATACCACAGCTCACAGTTTAACAAAAAATAATACATTTATAATATAATATTATAGTATTATAATAAAAATAGTATAATAGTTTATAATAATAAAAAATAGTACATTTAATACATTTACGGAGTCCTGGAGTTATACTTTAACATTAACAGTTATTATTGCACATTAACAAATGTTCTTTTGTAATGAAAAAAATCCAAACATTACAATATATTTTTTATGTTTTATATATAAACACAAACATTTTTATATATAATGTATTGAATTTTTTATTTACAATATTAATTACAAATGTATTTTTTGGTGGAGGGCCATGAAATCATTGCTTGGGCAAATAAAAGTCTAAAATGTTTAAGAAAAAAACAATACACTAGTACCCCAACCAAACCAAAAAATATTTATTGCTGATGGTTGCATAACATTGAAATTACCTGGTAATTAACTAACTCCAACTTAAAGGCATAGTTCACCCAAAAAGGAACATTTACTCACCCTCACGTCATTCCAAACCTGTACGAATTTCTTTCTTCTGAAGATATTTTGAATAATGCTGGTAACCAAACAGTTGACGGTAGCCATTGACTTCCAGGTATGAGAAAAAAGTATTGAATTCAATGGCTAACAACATTCTTCAAAATACCTTCTTTTGTGTTCAACAGAAGAATACAACTCACACAGGTTTGGAACAAATTTGTTAAATTTGTTTTTACTACCTAATGAGCTGCACAACATTATAAAATGTGGTATGGTAAGTACCATGCTTTTATGAAGTTGAGGGACTGGGTGAGGGTCCCTGGGTTGAAAACCCTTTTTGACACCATACCTGTGAGCTGGATCCCAGCAGTGGTGAGATGGTTTCCATCAGACTCTGTGCTTGTGGGTTGGTCGGTCTCTGCATGCAGGAGTCTCTCTGGACTGGCTCTCTTAAACCGCTGCATTCTCCGGATCACTGCATCTTTGACTTTCCCTGTGCCAGATACTTCAGGAGCGGGCTGAGAAACATCACCAGACCCTACAGCCTGAGTCCTGCCATTGATCTTACTCTTTATTTCAGTCTTAGTAACATCTTTGTCAGTCTTCTTTCTCCTCTTAGGGGGGTTTCTTCTAGAAGAGGGGGAGGATGGCTCCTCATCCTTGGTTGCTGATCTCTTTTCATCTCCAGAACCTCCTGCTCCTTTCTTCCTCACTCTTTTGAGGAGACGAGAGCAGAGGTCGGTGAAGTCTTGGTCCGAGTCGTCCATGATGAGCCAATCACACACATGATCTGTCACATGTGTCAGTTCTTATATGGATCCATATTTATGGATCATTAAACGTCATTTGTATTTTAATATTGTGGATAACATGCACGAAACTACAAGCTCATCTGTTCAAGCGCATTTTATAGACACTCATGAAAAACATATTTACCTTTGTTTACATTTCACTCTGCTACTATTCGAACGTAATTATATCGGTTAACGTACTTGTATTACGATTCATTCCATAACAACGTGAATACGGACCGTTAGCAAGACGCACTTCATTATATGTCTGTGAAACAGATGATTTAATGCCGCAAAACGACGGGTTTTTGATAAAAATGTGCTGCAGCGGCGGCTACTCTTGTTCAAAGTACCGTCCCGCAGCCGCCGCCGTCTACTTCCGGTGACGTCCAGTACGCGGTGACGCAATGACTGCGTCGATTGCGAAACATCTCCGAGTCATGTGACTGAACTTACGAAACGGCGACATAGCTAAAAAAAAAAAAAAAAAAAGATGGTAAATTACATTACATATTGCCAATAACTAGTTTAAGTATTTATACATTTTGATAACAATTATATAAGCCAAAGGACGCTACAACCTAACATGCTCAAAGTAGCTTTAGCATATAATAACATAGAATACACATGATTTTGATCTGTTGCACACAGTTTATTTAACAATATGGTATACAAGTAAGAAATACCTTTTTTTTCCAACCAGTTTATACAGTGATTCCATTCTCTCTTCCTTATATTTATAGTACTTTGCTTAATAACTTGCATGATTTACATAAAGGGAAAAAGTAGCCCCTGTTCAAGTTTGTGTGAGAGGAATGAGGGTCAATAGCAGAATCCATTCTGTGTTTCCAACAAGCAGTCAACCAGTGATCGCCCATTCCCTCCCGCTCAGCTTAGGGGCCCCCCTCTCTCCCTCTGTTCTCTCTAGCTCTCTTTATATTTATATATCTGTATGACAAAATTAGGACAAAAAGCAACAATATTCTACATCTGCAAGACAGAACCTCTGGATCCAGGCCAGTGAGATGTTGTAAATGTGTACATGTCCTCTTGGGGTCGGTGCTGTATTGTCTGAGTGATGCATATGTGTGTCTGTCTGTTTGTATGTCTGCATACATGCGTATGCACAGTTCCTATCAATACAAACAAATAGTTCTCCTCGTACAAACTTCACAATGAGGAAAGGAGGAAATGCCTTCGAATGAATGTCTGAAAAAATGGTACAACACTAGAATACAATAGCCAGGAAGGATGACAGACAGAGCAGAGAAACCCTGACCCAAACTCTCAGACAAATTATTTTACAGTCTTCCAAAACAAAAATGCTGCAAAGTTAGACAAAGTATAAAACAAAAGGTATGAATAATATAATGAAGTTTCGTAATTTTCTTAAAAAAAAAAAAACGCATGAAACCAGACCGCCCTCCCCCGAAACCAAAACTAAAATTTAAAACAAAACATTGACCACGCAAAGGTCTGAACTGAACAAAAAATATATTCTTTGTGATTTATATTTCTTTTAAACAACAATTTTCAAATCCCTCTTAAAAGGAAGCAATCAGTCTTGTGTTTTTAGGAAACATCAACATTCCCTATTCCTTGTTGACATAAATTTCTTTTTTTTCCCCCCATACATTTCTTCAAACTTTTTACATGTCAGTACAAAAAAATTCGAGAATATTAGAGAAAAACCAACAGAGACACAAAAAAAGAGGAACGAGGAGACTGTGGTGGGTGGAGTCTCCCAGTAAACGCTACAATCCCTCCACAAATTTCTCCAGCGTGTCTCCCGTTGTGTCTCCCACCATGCCTAAGTCACTGGGCAGCCCTTGGCGGTTGGGCGTATTAAGTTGCGGGAGCATGGCACTCTGCTCAGGTGTGCCCAGGTGCGCCTGCTCCATGGAGCCAGGCATGGGCGTCGTCAGTCCAGGGTGTGGTGATCCTGTGTGCTGCGGCGAAGGCTGCGGCTGAACCTGTGGGGAAGGACTGGAATGTGGAGGGGGCTGCCGCGACGGAGGTCTGGGCGACTGTACGAGGGCCGGCGAGCACACCTGATTACTGAGTGCATTAGCCATGGGTTGGCCGGGGAGGTGCACGCCTTGTGGCTGGCCGGAAAGCAGGTGAGTTTGTGGGCTCATTGAACTCGGTTGCGCCGGCGAGCCCATTGGAGGCTTGAGGATGACCTGCTGCTGCTGGAGCATGCGTTGGTGCAGGAGGTTGGATGTGCCGTCCATTCCCATCCCAGCTTGCCCCATCTGGGCCATAGGGGGCAGCTGTCCCATGGGTCCGCCTGTTGCCTGCATGGCCAACTGTTGCTGCTGCTGCATCCGGAGTTGCGTGTAGTTGGTAGCAGTCCCTTGTGCCTGTGGGAACTGGCCATGTGCCTGCGGTATCACTGCCTGCTGCTGCTGCTGCCGCAAAAGCTGACGGCGGTACAACTCCTGCAGCTGAGGGTTGTTGGCGTGCACAGGGTTCATGAGCTGCCCCTGCGCTCCAAGAGCTGCCATGCCCTGTGGAGCGGGCTGCTGTGCTTGCTGCTGCGGCGCCATGCCGGGTCGTGGCACCGCCTGCATTGCTGCCATGTTCTGCGCTGCATGCATGCCTTGTTGCGCTTGTTGCTGCTGCGGCTGGTTGGCGTGGTACTTGGCGGTCCTCTGTTTGATGAAGGCGGCCATGAGTTGCGGGTTCGATTTGAGGATGTTCAACACCTGCTGCTGTTGTTGGGGCGAGCTGGGCGACTTGAGGGTGAGTAGCAGGTCTTGCAAGGCATTTGGGGCAATGGCTCCGGGTCTCTGGAGTGCTTGCGGTCGCGGGCCCTGCGTGGGCACCATCATGCGTGGCTGTGCAGCTTGCTGGGGCATCATGGGCCTCTGTATAGGCATGGTCTGTGGTGTGGTCTGTGGCGGAGCAACCTGCTGCTGAGCCGCTTGCATGCCTGGCTGAGGGCCTCCAGTCCACTGTCCTTGCGGGATTTGCGGCATGACCTGTTGCCCGCGTGGCCCAACATGCTGCATGGGCGGCTGCATCGAGCCTGGCATGCGTGGCTGCTGGTGGTTCATGGGAAGGCCATTCATGGTCATGCGATAGTTCTGTTGGTGCTGAGCCTGCGCGACCATCTCTATGTGCCGTGCCATTTTGACCGCCATAGGCGGAGGCTGTTGCTGAGGAGGCTGTTGTGCCGTTGGCTGCTGCTGCTGGGGAGGTTGCGGGAGCGGAGACTGCTGCTGGTGTAGCGGGGAAGCCTGTGGGCCTGGTTTGCCCTGTGAAGCTTGAGGAGGGGGTTGTCCTTTGCGGGGAGCATTGGGATAAGCCGGGGACATGACGCCCGCATTGGGAGTCGTTGGCTGGTTGGATAGCGGTTGCGGTGTTTGAGGGGTGTTGGGTTGCTGATGTGAGGTGGGCGTGCTGGGGGCTGTTGATGCAGGCGGCGAGGGTAGGCTCTGAGGCATGGCTCGGCCCTGCATAGTAGCCATGCGTCTGCGCATCATCTGCGCCTGCTGGAGCCTGTGCTGCAGCTGCTGCTGACGCAGTTTGTGCTTGATGTTGAGGCAAAAGGGCACGGGGCACTTGTTCTCCTGACAGTGCTTGGCATGATAGCAGCAGAGCGCAATGAGCTGCTTGCACACTGGACAGCCACCGTTTGTCTTGCGTTTGCAGCCCTTGGTGTGCTGCACTACACGCTTCATCTTCTGACAAGATGGCAGGGAGCAGTTGGCATTGCGGCACTGGCAGGCATGCACCAGAGACTGGATGCAACGCTGGATGCTTAGACGCCGACTCTCCTGTGGACTCTTGGAGGCCTCGCCGCTTTGACTGTTGTCATCGTCCAGACCCAGACCCCACTTAACCATCTGGTGCTCGTGGCCCTTAGTGTTGTAGCAACTAATGCACAAGTCAAAGTCCTGAGGAAAGATGAGGATAGAGTGATTATCAAGGGATGACCAGATGTCTCCTTATGAAAAGACAAGAAATGGTTATGATGCATCAACAACAAATGGACAAAACGTGAAAGATGTGTTTAAAGCTACTAGTAGAATAGTTGTTACTAAAAGATCCCACGGCTTCCCAAGTTTCATAATCCCAAAGGTTTACTTCTCTTATGCACAAACCCAGAAACACACCCACATCCACTACTGATCATAAAGGACAGCTGTAACGTGTTACAGGAGCCTCTGGATCTTACCTCGCAGACAGTACAGTGCCAGCGTGTCTCGACATGGTGTTTACATTCGTTGCAGGTGTAGACAAAGCGGTCCTGGCCCTGGTTGTGCAATTCCACCAGCATGCACATGGTGCTCCATTTGCAGCGCCGTAAAGAGCTGAACTCCCAGTGTTTATCCCGTGCTAACGTCAAGAATGCGTCCCTTCCGTCCATCAGGTCGCAGGTCAAAAGGGTATCGGAGTCAACAATGGGTAGTAATGAGTTGACCATGGGCCCAGAGTGCAGATGGATTATAAAAAACACCTGGGAGAATATGTAGGACACGGTAAGAGGTTTCTCAAGATTTTTCCAGAGAAAAACACTTGGCTTATATATGCATATCAAAATCTGACATGCAAAACAGTAAAACTTTCAAGTTAAACAATGTACATGAGTCATGCAATGCCTTTGAGAGCAATTTTATGATCAGATGAAGAACATATAGTAGACCTCTTTGTGTTTCTCCATTGCGGCGTAGAGTTTCTGAGAAAGATCACTGGCTACATTCGGCATCCCAGGTTTCTTTTTATTAGCTCGGCTCATGCTACTTTTATTCTTATTTGTTTTCTTGTTGTTCTTCTTCTTTGCATTCTTACTGTCCCCTGGCATGCCCTGTTAGAAAGAATAAAAGAGTCTATAAAAGGTGTTTGGAGTTTGTAAAAGATGCAAATTAATCTACAGAATATCAAATAAAATGAACCCTATGCAGAGTATCCTAAAATTTTCACCTCTGGAGTTTCACAAGCTGCCGTGTTTTCTTCTTTTTTCCTCTCCTCTTCCTCCTGTTCCAACTCCTTGATGCTCTCCTCCAACACATTGGGCCAAAAATCACCCTCAAAATATGGAAGCTCGTTTGCACTCGTCAAACGGTCCTCAGTTGCTTGCTTAAAGATGTCCTATTAAACACAAACACATTGTATTTATACCATATAACTGTGTACTTGATAGCATACACACAATCAAAACAAAATTAAGATCACATGGTCCATGCTATACCTTGTAGTCATGCAGTATCCGCTCAGCAAATGCCTTGTCCAGCATTTTGCGGTACCACTCCTGCAGGCGCTTGGGTTTTGGGATTTTCTGGTCGGCAGGGTGACAGTGGAAGATATAGTCATCACCTTCACTAGGTGGACATGCCCAGATGTGTGCCGTAACATATCTGCGGTGGAAATATTCAAAGTTCAGGGCATGAATGGGAACTGTATTGGTCGGCCTCAAGGAAGATTTATATGGAGAAACCTACCCAAGCTTCTTGACGTATTCCAAATAGCCGATGAGGATTTCGTGATAGACTGCTGTTCTCAGCATGCGAGGTCTGAAGAAGTGAATACTATCGAGGTACGATATGTATACCCGTCTAGATAGGTACAAAAAAAATAAAGAAACTAACTTTTACCTTCATTGCATGCTGAGTATTACGTGCATTGGCGTATATGTCTGTTGTTTCTCAAAAGAACTCCAGTAAGAGTTTACCTGGTGTTAGGGAAAGGGCAATCAGAGCCGTACTCTTGCACGTGCATGCCGAAGAAACACACGTCCACTCCATCAATCTCCTCAAAGGCGAAAAGTGCTTTGGTTCTGTAGGGGAAGCTCTCGGGCATCTCTCCTGTGTCTACAAACCTGAAATGAAGCAGGGGATTAACTCACCTTTACCTGTTCAAAGAACAAACACTAGCACACCATAGCATTTGTTTGATGAACCTATATTGAAATGGGTGAAACTCTTGACCAGGAAAATGATCAGGCAAACCAGTTGATTTATTGGTTCTGCATCCAAACTTGCCCTCTGAAGGGTTATCTGAAGATTTAGCTTACTGGAAAAATAAAAGGTAAGCATGGAGGTTACATTTACCTGGCCCTCATGCCAGGTTTGACCTCCACCGTTTTGTCTGAACTGGCTACGACTCGCACGAACACCTCTCCAGCTTCCGGATGGTTCTGTCTCTTCAAGTATTTGTTCACCCGATCTTCTATGTACGTGCCTAACCGCGTCACCTGCAACCCTGGATCGAAGACAACAGCATTAAGCACAACACTTGTAAAGGGATAGTTTTTAATGAAACCTGATATTTTTATTGAAAGCTGAGAGATTTCACCAAAAAGAATTGTAAACAGAAGCAAGCACTTTTGAGATCTATGCATATGTGTTGATCAATGTTTGTATGTGAATAAAAGCCTGAACTATATCTGTTCATCATATCAAGTGATCATGTCTCTTCAGAAGACTTGGATTGAAACACTCAAATCACATGGATAACATTTACGGTGTCTTTAGGAGCTTTTTCGAATTGTCAAATGTTTGGTTGCATGGACTTTAAGTAGCTGGGTTTCTATCCAAATTTGCAAATTTAACTTATGCGCCAAATTGCAATATCGCATAAAGCATTTGCGAATAAGCACAGTTTCCATCCAACGAGTCAAAGAGAACAAAATGGTCACTTCCTCAAGAAAAAGACAAAAAAGACTTTACTCTGGCTTTTAAGAATGACCATAACATTTTAGATGCTGTGCAACATTTCAGATGCCGTGCAACAACATCGGTCTATTGGTTAGCCATGTTATGCCGTCCCATCGCGCAGTCACATGACTTTTTTGATGCACATGAAGGAATTTATTTGGTAAATGCGTTTCCTGCTCCCATTTTTCGCATTAACCCTTTTTCGCAAAAATCAAAAAACACTTCAAACGAGCGTAAGAACTTTTTTGTATATTAAAGGGTTAGTTCACCCAAAAATGAAAATTGGCTTGTGTTTTACTCACCCTCGAAGCATCCTAGGTGTATATGACTTTCTTCTTTCAGACGAATCCAGTCGGAGTTATATTAAAAAATTGTCCTGGCTATTCCAAGCTCTATCAAACACAAGCCAATTTTCATTTTTGGGTGAACTAACCCTTTAAGGGACTTTAAGGGAAATTTGGCGTTTCTACCACTCGTTTCCGATGCAATACTTCAAAATGCACATAAAAACAGGGTGATGGAAACAGCTAATGAAGGGACAGAAATCTCCCAGGTTTCATTAAAAATACCTTCATTTGTGTTTCAAAGATGAACAGAAGTCATACAGGTTTGGAACGACATGAGGAAGAGTAAATGACCATCCATTTAACGTTAATGCATCACAAGAACAATCCTATTACTCACTTTTTGCCGAAAACTTGCTCTCTTTTCTCGTCTTCCCACTCTTTTTCAAACAGTTATCGCAGATGAAACTGCAGAGAAACGCTCATTAGTGTTGACTTCCCGCATCGCATCCAGAATCGATATCAGAGCAACACTGTTCACTCTGAGGTGTTTTCAAACTCACCCAGAAGGCCAGATAACCTCATAATGCAGGACACAGATCTGATGCATCTTCCGCCCACAGTCTTTACATTCAACAAACCTGAGAGGAGGAGAATTGATTAATGGGGGATGCAACCGTTTATTGCGCTTTGTATTCTGGCAGCTTTTATTTTAGCAAGTGTCTGAATGCGTAGTCACTAACTGCAAGAGCAGGTAGTTAACATGAAATACATCATTCAACTTCTTTTCCTCCAGTTCTTACGCATTTGCAAGCAGGCCAATGCAATTGCGCCTTTGTAGGAGGTGTGGATTAGGACAACTTTGGGATAATACTGATGCTTACAGACTGTAGTGTTGTGTTCGTGTGGTGGGAGTGTCTCTATGCCCTATGTTGTTGACAGCATGGTGCGCCAGTGAGCAGAAGCCATGTGGTGTAACAAGTCCAGATCGGACAAATGTATAGGCCAATACTGACCAATATAGCCCTAATATTAAAGCATGTGCTACTTGATTGCCTCGTGGAATTCTGGGAAATTAAGTGGAGCGTTTACTTACGGCTCAGGATCTAACGTGTCATTCTTCTTCCTTTCAAACTGGTCTTTAGAGATCATGCTGCATACAAAGAAGATCCACAATCAGGTTTGTTGAACATTTAAAACATTAAAAAATGATTCAGTTTATTATGGAATGGAGAAAATGAATCATTCGGAATGATTTTGAACTAAAGTGATGAAATCTCCACAACCGAGCTTAATAAACTGCAAAAAGGTGAACAATCACTTACGTCTGGGGCTGAGCTGGATCATCTCCTAGCGTCACACTGTCTCCCTGAATCTCATTGAAGCACTTCTCGCAGAAATGATACCTGTATACACACAAACTGCTGAGTCATGAATCATTTCAAGAAATATGTAGAGGCGCACACGCGCACAAATACTGACTTTATTATTTATTAATCCAAATAGAATATCAAATCTGTATGATTATAAAGTCATTTGACGCTGTAGAATATCACAATGTGAATGGCTTCCTAGTGTTCAACAAAAAACAAAGTAATAGTTCAATCGAAATGTAAAATTAGCTGAAAATTTACTCACAATTTACTCACCTTCAGGTCATCCAAGACGTAGATGAGTTTGTTTCTTTATTGGAACAGATTTGGAGAAATGTAGCATTACATCACTTGCTCACCAATGGATCCTCTGCAGTGAATGAGAGTCCAAACAGCTGATAAAAACATCACAATAATACACAAGTAATCCACATGACTCCAGTTCATCAATTAAGGTCTCATAAAGCTGTGTTTTTTGTAAGAAACAAATCCATCCTTAAGGCATTTAACTTTAAACCATAATTTCAGGCCAAAATACGAGTCAATAATCCACAATAATGCTTTCTTCAGTGAAAAAGTCCATCCACCGTTGTCTCTCACATCAAAATATTTGTTTAGAACAGTTTTGGACTGTTTTTGCTTGTAAATCGTGCTTGATATGTGCATATTTCTCTCCTTATTCAGACAACTTTTTCACAGTAGAAAGCAATATTATGAATAGAGGACTCTATATTTTAGCAGGAAACTAAGGTTTGACGTTTAAAAAGCCTTAATTATGGATTTGTTTCTTACAAACACACATCTTTTCACTTCACACAATGGTAACTGATGGACTGGAGTCGTGTGGTTTACTTGTGGATTATTGTGATGTTTTTATCAGCTGTTTGGACTCTCATTCTGACGGCACCCATTCACTGCAGAGGATTCATTGGTGAGCAAGTGATGTAATGCTACATTTCTCCAAATATGATGAAGAACCAAACTCAACTATATCTTGGATGACCTGAGGGTGAGTAAACATTCAGCAAATTTTCATTCTTGGGTGAACTAGTCATTTAATACAAAGATGTACAATGATTACTGCGAATAAGGAGTAATCTGGCTAAATGCTTGCAAAAAAAGAGACTAGATTTACAGTGTCAGCAGAGGATGCAAGTGTACAAGCGAGAGCGACTGTCTGCTTATTTAGAGGTTCTGCAGTGACGCGCTCTGTGCTGCAGGGGGCGCAAGGGAGCCTGTTATGAGTAAGCAGGCAATTCGCAGCAAAAAAACTAATAAATGTGCCAGTGCAAATATTACAACTGCCAATAAATTAGGACTGGCTGGAGACTTCAAGCAGTGTAACCATGAAGAAAGAGAATGGGGGAGGGGTTGTGATCAAGCAGTCTTGTGTTTAGAAAATACATTATGAACAGGCCTGAGAGCAAACTATGCTAGTGTACACACAGCCACACGGGAAGGTTTAATGTCAACGTCGGATTTGCCGAATGTGCGTCAAAGCCACACACGGCTGAACTAACTACACCACATGACAGAGAGCACGTCGACTTTAACTTGAGTGTCTTCTTAAAGGTTTTCTTAGGCTGTCGACCACATGAATTTACCTCACCTGTTCTGATAACTGTAATAAGTGCCGTCTCGGGGTATTGTACACAATTGCTTGCCATAACAGCACAGCGTCTGAGGAGAAAACTCGTACTGTGGGAGGAAAGAAGAAAAGAGAGTTCAGACACATGACCAGAAAAGTCTGTTTTATGTCGAGTTTTTGTGTGCAGACGACCGGGAATTGAATAGTTACTATGAAAACAATGGAGCTTCTTTAGTGGTAGTACTAAAAAATGCCACTACCGTTGTATTCTTATTATTTTAAATAAAATAAATATTACATCTGCATTATCTGAATGTGTGAGGTGCTCGAACATGCTTAAAAAGTATGCACATAAAGAAATTAGATGATATTTTGAAGTTTATGTAATTCCAAATATTTTGCCATCTGACATTTTTGCATTTATTATTGAATTATATGTTTATTTTCATGTTATTACTAATTATTTTGATTAGTTATAATAGTTGTGGAGAAATATTATTGTACAATCATTTACTATATATTTAATATAACATTTATTTGCACATTATTATTAGTGGATATATATCATTGTACAACCATTTATTATACAATCAACCCTCTACATTGAGAGTAAATCACTCGCATATGCGACTAGATCTTACTCTGGGCGACTAAATGTCTAACATTAGCCATTGGCTAATAAATTCTTAGATTTTACACGCCAGTATGTGTGTGAGAGGCGTTCAACACAGATTTTCACTCGATAAACACGCTGACTGAGCATTTAGATAGCTAAGTAAACGCGTGTGTGTGTGTGTGTGTGTGTGTGTATAAAATAGTATATCCGTCTGGCGAGTAAACAAAAAAATTTACTAGCCAATGGCGATTATATTGCCAAGGTGTGCGTAGAGGGTTGACAATGCTATTTTTATGCATTCTTTATTATTATTATTACTATTATTATTGAGTGCTATTATTGTATAACCCTTTATTATATAGTAATACATTTATTTGCACATTATTATTTACGTTACTGTGGAAATATACAACCATTAACTGTTTATTAGACAATAATATATTTAATATACACTTATTCGCACATTATTATTATTATTATTATCATTAGTGTTGTTGTTGCGTAAATTGTAGTCAAGCAATTAAACAATAATATATTTAATATACACTTATTCGCATATTATTGGTATTATTACTACTTTAGAGTCATATTATTGTAAAACCTTTTATTACTAAAGAATATATAGAACATGCATTTATTTGCATATTATTATTATAATTTGTGGAGATATTATTGTACAACCATTATACAATGCTATATTTAATATACATTTATTATTATTATTAATAATATTATTATTAAGTGCTATTATAGTATAACCGTTTATTATATAATTATTATTACAGGGCTCCAGACTGCGACCATTTTTTCTGCCGGTGCGACTAAATTTTGTGTGCAGTCGCACTGTCGCGACCACCGCATTGTTCAACTCATAAGCGCTGCAATTTCTGTTGCATATGAGAAACATCAAATGGCAAACGAAACTGAAAGCATAACGAAACCGCGCTACTTGTTTGAACTGCGCAGCGCTTAAAGAGAGTAGAGCCTGGTTTATACTCACCGCGTCAGCACGAGCGCGAAGCTGCGCGCAAAAAAAAATTACGCGAATATTGAGGAAACGATGGATGGTTTTCATGCTAAAGTAAAGTAAAAGACAACTTCTTAACCCAGAGAAGGTGAACATGTTGGTATTCTTGTGGGGGAAAAAACATGCTAGCACTGTCACCGACAGCAAGTTTAGGTTTACTTTTCTTTGTTTTCTTTTTGAAAAGCTTGTTATCTTTGCTGTTTACCTCACGTTACACTGTGGAGGCTCTCTTTTATTTTTTTTATGTTTTTATTTGATTCCTCAGTGTTTGCTAAACGTCCTGTAATTTATTAGTAGGTATATAATACAGCATGTGGTGTGTGCCATGCCTCATCTTATTCGTTTTTTAAGCTATTTTGTCATTGTATCTTACTGTTTTATTGTTGTTTTGCTTTTTAATTAAGAATAACAACGAATCCATCTTTTGTTTTAGTCTTAAAAAATGAAATGTGTAGATGTATGTAAGCAAATCAGACAATTATTTTTTCTTGTAAAGCGTGACACCAAGATCGCGAATTCGAAAGTGAAAGCATCCGAAGCCCGCGACTTATAAACATAGCAAAAGAGGAACTCCAGTTCACAAAATTTAAATCACAAATAATACTGATGAAAAAGAACAGGTTGAATGTTAACCACTTTCGTTTCCATATAACTATAAACTATGATAATAAAAGTTCATCAGCATGCATTAATTAATCCCATGTTGTAGCGCAAAAAAAAATATATATATATTTGCGACCTAATCATGTGCTCGTGCGACCAACTGAGAAAGTCAGTCGCAAAAGAGCGACCAGTGGGAAGAATGAGTCTGGAGCCCTGTATTATTAGCTATGTGGAATAATGACAACAGAACATGTATTGAAAGTCAGTTCATCTCACCTTCCTTCCGCAGCAGTAACCGAGGCTCTGCATGACTGGGTCGATCTCCTGCTCGAACACCTCGGCCAGTTTGGAGCAGTACTTGTACACGCGCGACGTCTTCCTGTTGTACAACCACGCGTTGTTGAACATCAGCCACACGTCATCCACGTACTGCCACGGCTCCTGATACTGACCCGTGTCCAGTTTGCGCTTGATAGTGGACAGGTCTATGGGGTTCTTCACGATATCGAAGTAGTCCTGAAGGTAAAAGAAGAACACCTTCAAAGTTCAGTCAAACACAGTTTTCACATTTCTAACAATGATTTAATGAAGATATAGGCATGTGAGACTCACAGGGATGCCAAGAAGCATGGGGTCCACAGGCTGCCGGAAGGGTAGAGACTCCGGATCCTGTCTGTACAGAGACTCCAGAGTGGGCATCAATGCCTGCCGCAACTCTTCTGGCTTAAAGACTGAGAAGAGAGAGAGCAGGAAACCAAAGTCAGGGACAGACGAAAGATTGATGAAAGCAACTGAAATAAAAAGAAAAACTATGAAAACAGAAATGTAGAGCAAACAGAAAAGAAATATCAGTTCATACTTTTCCTGCGAGACTGGGGCGGTGAAGAGGATGTTGTGCTGTTCGTTCGGCTTTCATCTTCCTCTTTGGTCTCCGTCTTCAAGTCTGTCTTCTTGTCCTCGGTCTCCATCGGCTCCTGCTTAGCCTCCAACCCCTCCTGCTCCTCCTTTTTGACCAATAGGAAGCCTGTGTTGTCCTCCATCTAACAAAGGCAGAAGAAAAATCTGGGTTGGTAAGATTTTTGATGTATATAAATACAGTAAAAACAATAATATTGTGAAACTAAATTACTAAAGTAACCGTTTCCTATTTTCATATATTTTAATTAGTGCTGTCAAACAATTAATCACATCCAAAATAAAAGTTTACATAATATGTGTGTGTACTGTGTATATATATATATATATATATATATATATAAAAATACTAGGGATGCACCGATACCACTTTTTCCAGTACTCGCCCGATACCGATACTTTTATTTTTGGTACTTGCCGATACCGGTTGTAAATTTTTTAAATATTGGGTACAGAAACCAAAAGAGTATGTATAATGTTAGTTGGTTAACTTAATTTATCAAATAGATACAGTCAAACCAAAATTTATTCAGACACCTTCAACATTTCTCACATTATCACAGTTTATTCGCTATAGTTTAGAAAATGGTAATAAAATATGACAAGAACTCAAGAGTTACACTGTGTCAGAACAAATTCATCTTGATAATGTTAGATAACTTTGATAGAAAGACATATAATGGATTACAATCAACCAAAATAATTCAGACAGCTGTTAGTATGACAGTATTTACACAACTATCAATACTTTATATATTAAATATATTTATATACAATATAAATTATATGAATATAAATTTATACATGTAAATATTTTCAATATATATACTGTATGTATATACTGTATAATAAATATATTAGTAAGTACACACACATACAACAAAAAGCGATTAATCGACAGCACTAATTTTAATATGTAATTAATATCTGTGATGCAAAGCTGAATTTTCAGCATCGTTACTCCAGTCTTCAGTGTCACATGATCCTTCACAATTCTACTATTTTTATTTAGTAGTAGTAGTAATAATAATAACAATATTATTATTATTCATAATAATATTAGGTTAGGACTATTTTAATTATTTAATACTATTATATAGTAGTAGTAGTACTATTAGTACTACTAGTATTATTATTATTATTATTATTATTATTATGTTAGGGTTATTTTATAGACATACTGGTATATATTAACAATATTTTGTATAAACTATGCCACAAACCAGGACTCTCCAAAAGCAATATTTTTTTATTTTACAGTGAAATATTACAATAGTAAAATTACTTAATTTAATATTTTTATCTAATAATAATAATAATAAATAATTTATTATTATTACAAGTAATATTATTATTAGTAGTAGTAGTAATATTGTTAGGTTATGGTTATTTTATAGTCATATTGGAATATAATCACAATATTTTTGTCCAAACTTTGCAGCAAACCTAGACTTTTATTTTACAGTTAATTTTTTTAAATACAGTAGCAGCAGCAACAACAACAAATTAATAATAATAATAATTATTATTATTATTCATTATTCTCATTATTATTATTATTATTAAAAATAAGTATAAATACAAAACAAAAACAAAACAGCAAATCATCTTAAAAGGGCAATTACCATTTTTATAGAAAAAAATTCTAGGATTTTTCCCTAAAAGTGCAATAGCATTCAAAGATTGCTGTCTCTGTCCCGACTACCTCACAACCAGTCAGTTATGAGGCTCCACTCGGGTCAGGATGCTGCCTGTGTAGGAAGCTCACTAGGTTTAGGATCTGAGGATGGATCTGCGGGTCTCACCGGTGTTCCGGGGTGCTGCTGGGCAGGGAGGGGCAGCTCCGTCTGGGGCTGCATGTAAGGCGGGGTGCCCTGAGCAGGGGCGGGGGTGGGTGTGGAAGCCTGACTGGGCTGCAGTTTTTCAGCATCGTTACTCCAGTCTTCAGTGTCACATGATCCTTCACAATTCATTCTAATATGCTGATTTGCGGCTTAAGATACATTTCATAATATTATCAGTGTTGAAAACATATGTAAAACACACCTCCATCTTGGGCTCCGTTTTGATGCCTATGTCGTATTCTTGCTCTTCTGTTTTAGTGTCACTGGGCGGTACGTCAGGCATGGCATGCTGGGAGTGCAGCTCGGCGCTGGCTGCTGATGCTGGGGTGGGCACACGGGTTTCACCGCTCTTAAAAAGACAAAGTATCAGATTCATTGCCTTTATTTGAATTTTGTCTTAAAGCTGAGCAATTACGGTGTCATTTTTAGAAAGATGGCACTGTTTGGTTTGACAACAACACTGTAGCTTTGTTCCAAAACCTAGTGAGTTTCCCTGGAAGAATAAAACGGATCACCATTAACACATACTGCCACCTACTGGTATGGAGGAGTTATCTAACCCAGACGCAAAACATACTAGTGCTGGTCGGCTGTAGTCTTTGCATCGTGTTGAAGCGCAAACTTTTGGCCCAGATACAGGCGGCGTGAGGTGACACCACAGTCAGCTTTGGTCGCCGCTAGTTCTTTGCTGTCGGTTTGGTGTGTCTGGGCCTCAACATATCACGTTTAGGCCAAAATCAGGCCGCAGTTCACATATTCATCCTAGAATGCATGGCAATTTGACTAGGGATGACCCTAAACACTATTCTGATAAAATAATAATAAAAAAAAACTAATATTTGTGTTTTCTATGTACGTTTATGCTTAGTGTAGAACTGTGATATTAGCTTTGCAACATGCTATTTTCAAACACTACTGTTATCAATTGTGAAGAGTCTCTGTGTGTTTCTTCTAGGTCTACATGATAAATTGAAATAAAACCAAAATCGCAATATGGCTTAGTGGAATTATTTGTTTCAGCCTTTCAGGTGTTTCAGAGTGAAGTGTGGCACAGAGATCATTTACATGCAAGAAGCTAATGAAAATAGTAATATTAGTCATTTTATTTAAGAATTTTATTTAATAGTAATAGTAGTAATAATATTACATGTTTATTTAGTAGTAGTAATATTATATATATATATATATATATATATAAAATAGTAATATAAAATATAATACATACTTTATTACTAAATATAAATATACTACTCAGTAATATTGTTACTATTACTTAATATAAATTACTAAGGTACTAAACGCTTACTAAATATATAATATATAACAATATTTAGTAATATTATTTAATGTTACTATTTTTATTTAGTAGTAGTAGTAATAATAATAACAATATTATTATTATTCATAATAATATTAGGTTAGGACTATTTTAATTATTTAATACTATTATATAGTAGTAGTAGTACTATTAGTACTACTAGTATTATTATTATTATTATTATTATTATTATGTTAGGGTTATTTTATAGACATACTGGTATATATTAACAATATTTTGTATAAACTATGCCACAAACCAGGACTCTCCAAAAGCAATATTTTTTTATTTTACAGTGAAATATTACAATAGTAAAATTACTTAATTTAATATTTTTATCTAATAATAATAATAATAAATAATTTATTATTATTACAAGTAGTGGCGTTGGGGGGCGGTGTGGCGCGGAGTGGAGCCTGAGGGGGCGCGGGACAGCCTAGCGGGGGGCCCAAGGGGCCGAGTGCATTCAGGGAGAGGTTAGCGTTCGGCTGCTGCTGGGGAAGGAAAGATCGCACGCACACAAGCAGGGACAAAACAAGTTTAGAGGGGACGTCGTCATGCGGAATGACATCACTCTAGGACATGAGTGCATGTGCGCACCTGCGAAACGCCCGCCTGTGCGTTGGGCTGGCCCATGTTGACGTTCATGGCGTTGGTGTTGGCGGGGAACTGTGGTTGAGCCATGAACTGCGTCTGGTTGGCCGTCTGTGCCACCATGTTCCCACCGTGAGCTCCCAGCATGCTTTGCGTGGGGGACATTCGCGTGGGAGACATATTCATCTGCGAAAAAACGAAGAGAAAGATACAATGAGATACGTGTCCGGAGAGCAGAAACGAGAAGAATCCAGACTTGGACACTGACCGTCGGGACTTGGTTCATGTTGATCTGTTGATGGTTTATCGGAGAGGCGGCACGTGTCGCCATGGGAGCCTGAGACATCGGGACATTGGGTATCGTGCCAAATGGATTCAACCCTGTTGGAAAAACAACACAAAAGATTGGAAACGCAAAGATTTTTGTTTAGAGTTGAGAAAACAAATGCATCTCCAACAGTGATTGGCTACAAGTGGGACTGAAGTACCTTGAGACACCTGCATGCAATTGATGATCTGATTTGGCACATTGGGCATAGGCACGGGTCCATCTGAAAAGAGGGAAGAGACTGAATGAGATCAGAAACTGGCAAATTTTGTGCGTTTAGGTCTGTTGATTTAACACGTTAATTTGGTGTGATTAGTTAGAATTCAAAATTTTAAAAAGTGTTGCATTCAGCTGCTGACAGACGACTGACTGTGTGATGTAGCCTATTACAATGCAGTTATATGTTCCTAAAATCCAAGATATCAGGGTAAAAAATGCCCCTGTATGAGTTTTTGTCTTATATTTATGTGATATAGTTCAGCAATATCAATACATTTTTCCCGAATATCTGCACTAGGGCTGCACGATAAATCGCATGCGATAATTAATGCGCATCTTGTCAGAAAGCCGGTTCTGTAATCAGCGGTAAATCTCCATCACCTGCGGGCTTTCACATTGAGCAGCATTAACTACACAGAGCTGTTGTTCACTGACGAGCTGCGCAAAAAATCGCGCGAATATGAACGTGGTTTTGCGCAGCTCGTCAGTGAACAACGGCTCTGTGTAGTTAATGCTGCTCAATGTGAAAGCACGCAGGTGGAGATTTACCGCTGATTACAGAACCGGCTTTCTGGATAAGATGCGCGTTAAATATCGCATGCGATTTATCGTGCAGCCCTAATCTGCACGACTGCATATATAATATAGATTTAACGCAACAGTTGATATTAACTATGAAAATAGTTCTAAACAAAGCCACAGCAGAACATCCTTTCTGGGCAACACACAGCAGTGTTTCATTTCGGAATGAATGCAACTTTTTTAATGAAACAAGTGAGCCAATGATTCAATGACTCATTTATAAAGAGTCACTTGCTTCGATTCGGGATGAATCAGCCGTTTGGACGAATTAGTTAAATGAATGATTCAATGATTCCCTCATCAAGTCTTTGCTGCCACATACTGGTGGTTTTAATTTAATAGAGTATAATTAAGATCCCATAAGATCCCACCCACCCTGCAAATTACTCTCCAAAACACATGACCACGCACAGGAAGACCAGAGGCTAACCAGCGTTGAATGCAACACTGTCAAGATTACCTCATGTCTCATTCACCGGGGAGAAAATATCACAGTTCAAAGAGCATAATATTAAAATAACACTTTCCATTCTCACTCGGTCTGCAATAGCGTAATGGAATGCACTGACGCATCATGTCTGTGCGAACAGGGTGCACAGAGGTATGCAAATACATACATTGACAGGCAGGTAGGAAAGAGAGATACGATTGGACGAACATTTTATGGTCCTACGCCTTCAACAGATGATATAAATACAAATAAATACATTTAGAGCACTTAATTTGGTGATTGTTATTGGGATGAGAAGAGACTTTCAAACAACATAACAAAATGTTTTTGAACTAAATCACCTACCCTGCCTTTAATACCCATTAAATCTCATAGCATTATTTATGCAATTCTAATTGCAGCGTAAATGCATTCATGCCACCTCTGGACAGTCTGTGTAAATATACCTAAATGCCACTTCAGCTTCTGAAAACAATGTTATGGCCACATTGTAGCCTTAAAAGTGAAGCCGCAAAGCCCTAAAAATAGATGTGCAATTAATTTGATAATTTAATTGGCATATCATGTAATTAGATCAAAATTCGAATTGCTTGACAGCCGTAGTTTTAAAGTGACTTACTCTGTGGCCGAGGTCCCATAACATTAGGCTGGTTGAGGGCCGGTGGCTGTTGTCCTACTGCAGTCATGGGCGTCTGGTTAATAATCTGCTTCTGTAATCGGGACCTTCTCTTCTCCTCCAGCTCTTTCTGGATCTTATAGATCTTCTCTGCCAGAAAGTGATAGTACTCGTCCTATACAACACGCACAGACAACAGTGTTAAAATCAATGTAATCAACGCTGAAGAATTTTACTTTATTGGCCTTTAGGATGAGGTGTAACCCTGACAGAGGGGCTGTGCTCACCCTGCTATTGGCCGACTCGTACATATCCCCTTCCACTTTTCGTGCATACGCCACCAGGTTCTCCATGCGACGGTCCTTCAGGGCGGCGGGGTCTGGCGTAGGGAAGATGGCCTGCACCCTAAACAAACACACACAGAGCAAAACCTGTTCACTCAAAGTGATTAAACTGTTTTCAACAATGATAATAATCAGAAATGTTTCTTGAGCATCAAATCAGCATATCAGAACAATTTCTGAAGAATCATGTGACACCGAAGACTGGAGTAATGATGCTGAAAATTCAGCTTTGCATCACAGAAATAAATTACATTTTAAAATATATTCAAATAAAATAATTATTTTGAATTGTAATAATGTTTCGCAATATTATTGTTTTACTGTGTTTTTGATCAAATGAATGCAGCCTTGCTGAGCATAACAATTTAAAAACATTTATAAAATATATCTAATTCAAGAGCAGCGTTTACTAACAGTTTGTGTACAAGGTGGTTGCGGAGGTCCTGAGTGACGTGCTCGTGCCAGGATTTCCTCACACCGGTGGCTGACAGAGGGGCCGCTGTGGGCAGGTTACCCATGCTGCCTAACGTAGGGATGTCCGGCATCAGCTGACTGAGTAAGAAGAATCAGGAGATATTTAGTAAGCAAACAGTATTAAAACACCAATTTTGAGCAATTACGAGCTGGGGGTGTGTTTTGGTTGGTGTGTGTCCGTGTCTTACTTGCTAGGGTTAAGGGCTGACGGCATGGTGCCATCTGAGAGCAGTTTAGCCTGGTCTGATGTTGGTACGCCGATTGGGTTCATCTGACCACCCCCTGCACGAAAAATAAATAAATAAAATAAAAATACATAAAATACTCCATAAAAATATATTGTATTTATTTATATTAAACATTTTATTTAATATTTAAATCTTAAATAAAATATTTAATATTTAAATATTAAATAAAACATGTTATATATTATATTTTGATTATAATACATTATATTTTCAAAGAATTTAAATATATAATAACCCTAACATATATAATTAAAATTAATACTGAAATACTCAAACCAAAAGCATAAAAACAATCATTACTTGAAATAAAATACACATAAATAAATTTTAAAAAATTCAATTTAGTCTAACCTGATACACTAAAATAATAAAAACTAAAACATACATTAATAACTATAGACATATGAAAAAAAAACAAATGACTGAACATTTAAACTTAAAAAATAGAAAACATAAAAATGTATTCAAAACATTAATAAAGCCTGTATCTCAATGATACACAGATTATGTATCTTTATTTATTTGTTGTTTGTTTTTATTACATTTATTTTGTATGTGTGTGTGTGTGTGTGTGTGTGTCTAAACAAACAACAAATAAATAAAAGATAAAAGATAATTTATAACTCATAATCCCTAAATGTTTTTACATTACATAATTTTATTTTTTATATTACATATTACTATAAACATTTAATTAATAAGAAATAAAAACAAATAAATAAAAACACTTAAAATAACACTAAATATTTAACATGTTAGATTTTCAAAAAAAATGTAATGAACATAAAAACAAATATTTCATAATAAATACTCATAAAATAAAAAAAACCTCAAAATAAAATATAAATATTTTTTTAAAAATTGTGTATGTATATTATTCTTTTGTAATATATATTTTATATATTAACATATTAACTACATTTTAAATACACATTGACATTCTTCTACAATTTAATAATTGTTCACCGAGCACGTTGATGGATCTTATTTGCTGCTGGTGCTGGGTCTGTGGCGTCTGTGTGGGGGTCTGGTTGCTGTAGGGGAGGCCGAGGGCAGCGTACGCCCGCTGCATGGAGCTGGGGTCGATGGGCGTGGAGCTGGGTAGAGCGGGTGCCGTCTGCTGCCCCGTGCCGACCGTCCCGATAGGGCTCTGCAGACCAGCGTTGGGGGGACTCAGCATTGCTGAAACGCAGGAAAGACATGTCGGCATATTTCAAACAAGATCTGCATGAAATTTCACGTCTGATTCTGCTTAAACCCTTGGCAGAATCTGTCCGTCAAAACAGAAAAAAAGAAAAAGTTCAAACCCTGCCAAACAGCCGTCTGGAAGAAAAAACATTACTCATCTTGAACGACGTGGAAAAAACAGGGGAAGTAGAAACGAAAGGGGAGGGGGTCCGAGACGCCATTTGCATGGGGAAGAAATATGGCAGCGGCGACTCTCCAACATGTAAATCCCACAGTGCAAAAACAAACACTTTAGCTGCCTCGTGCTCTCAGAGTCATGATGAGAGACGGCTGGCAGAGGGAGAGGCGCTCTGCAGGTTTGCTGGAGCTGTAACAGTGTGAGATTTTAATGAGTCACCGCTCAGCGCCCCTCCCCCTCAGCTGTACGGCTCTGCAAACACACACGGCCCGTCTGAAACATTCACAGCTACCATCACACCTCTCCTTACAGAATCCTGCTGAACAACTGCATATCCAAAAAACAGTGCATCTTAAACACACTTTGATCCCTGAATCCTAAATTACAGAAATAATGTACTTTAAAATAATGCACTTATGTGTATTCATGAATGTAATGGTTCAAGACATTTAGGCCACATCCACACGAAGCCAGAGCTTTCCTTATCCGATTTTTCCCCCCCTTGTTTCAAGAAATATCAGCGTACACACGAAACCGACACAAAACGATGCAGTATACATGCCAGACCAGTATGTGGCGCTGTAATTCTGCCACAGAGATTGACTGACTTGCACATAAACCATGCGCGCGGTATACAAACGAACATGGAACACTACATTTATTAATCTGTGTTAATGTTAGTTAATAAAAAGACTCGGTGTCTGACTAGGGGCGAGATGTGGGCTGATGACGTCATCGTTTCACGAAATATACGGATTGGCTGTACACACGAAAACGCAAGGGTGGCGTTTTCAGATTTATCCAGATTTTATTTATTTTCAAAAAATAGCGGTTTCACTCTCCCAAAACGCCGGATCCGTCTGGATGAAATGCCAATAAGATACAAAATTTTTACGTATACAGCTAAACACGTCTCCATGTGGACGGGGCCTTAAATGAATGCTATTTGCCATCAAATGACAATTTAACATAGCTGGAATATATTAAATTTACATTTTAATATAAATTGATATTTGTTTAAATGTCTGATTAACAGCTTTGTGGACAAATATAAATTCTGACTACAAATGAACTTCTTTACATAAGGATGCAGTTTAAAAGCACATACTTGTGAAAAAAGAAGTGTGCTTAATTGTATTGAATGTGCACTTGTAGTGTACTTCAAATCTTACAAGAGTACTTAAAAGTGTACTTGCAGATAAAATAATATCAATCAAATAAAGGCCACTTACGTGTACTTACAGTACACTTTCATAACCGCTTCTGAACACACTTAAGTACACTTTTAAAACATGTACTTTGTAATCATTTCCAATTAAAAGTACTTAAAATGTTTTAATAATATTTTCACATGATTTAAAGAAGCGCACTTACTTTGATTTAAAGCACATCTAAAGTACTTGATCATAATTTTAACTGTAGTTTGTTATTCAATATTACATGTAACAACGTTTTAAATGTAGTAAATTGCAACATGACCACAAAAATAATTGCAAATACATTTAAATACATGACATACAAGTTTCATTATATAAGTATATTTTAGTAAATGCTCATAACTATATTTCAAAGACCATATAAGTAATTATGAAACTGAATGTAAAGATGTATTTAAGTCCTAATTATGTGGGTCAAAAAAGCACTGTAAAATTAATCAAATTGCATTTAATATACATTTATCTACAATATACATTTTCATCTGATTGCAATTAACAAGCACTTAAGTGTCCAAAAATATTACATTCAGTTTGCACTTATATTATTATATAAGTATATTATTTTAAAGTATATTATTTCCAAAATAAAGGTTCTTGCACACTGAGTCTGAAATTTCCGTATGCGTTTTTTTCGTATTCCTCATCCTAAAAATTTGTCACACACAGAAACCTTGCACACGGAGTCCGATGCATATTAATTAATCCATTGCAAAAAAAATTGCCAAAACAATATGGATTGCGGATGATTTTGTTGTCCATCCAATCTTGAGAACGCATAGAGAGGAAGGAGAGTTCCTGCGGGATTATCCCAAGCGATTCAAAGTTTACTTCAGGATGTCAGTTGCTCAGTTTGATGATTTTGTTAGCGATACTAGAGCCACATATTAAAAAGACCACCAATTTCCGTGAAAGGACCTATACAGTGCTTCGTGCTGCGAGACGAAGTGGATCAACTTGTCAGACGCCATTCTGGGTTTTGGCATTCACTTGTACGGTGGCTCTGAATTGTCAAAATGCTTGCTACGGATGCGAAAAATGCAGAAAATTTAACCCGATCTGAATTTCTTTGACGGACAAAGGTTTCGTGGGCAGTGTGTAAACGTGATTGACACAACATGGGGTCGTGTTTATTTTTTAACGTGCGAAAATTTCGGACTCAGTGTGCAAGGACCTTAAGTACTCCTTTTTTAAAGTATGATAAAGTGTACTTGTTTTTCACAAAGGCATCACAGGAGGCACCTCATGAAGTTTGTTGTCTTCTGATATTATAAATATAAGTAGTTTTCAATTATGTAATTCTCATACTTGCATTTATTATTCAATAGAAATTTCCAAATGCTTAATTAAATAACATTACATAATAATTATCATTATTATTTTATATGTAATAAAAAATATAAAATAATTAAATTAGAATAATACAACAGAAATATTACATTAACATTATTATTATTATTCAGTTGTGTTGTCGTGAAGTAAAGAGGAGGGTGATTGATGGAGGAAGGACTCACGTTGCTGGTTGCGTTTGTCACTGGCGTTCTTCAGCGGGAGGCAGACGGGACAGTCATGCCTCGTGCAGTTCTTCCAGTGCGAGATGATCTGCCTCGATGAAGCACAGTGAGCCACTGCAGAGACAGAGACAGAAGAAAGCCTGAGCCAAAGTGCAAGTGTGTCCAACTGCTGCAAAACTGGGAGCAAAAAGGTCCTGTGGGAAAGCAGGTCTGCAAAGCAGACACACACACATCTGCCACAAGTGATTTCACTAAAACCACAGCAAAGAATGCCATTTTTTCTGTGACGAGTCATTTTTTCGTTCCTCACAGGAAGTAAAAAGATAGTACAAATGACAAATCACAGGCAAATATATCATAACTGATGTTTAATTACAGTTATGGGGAGGGAGATTTTCAACCAATGACATTTCACTGTAGGAGGGATTATCCAGTGGGACAATGAAAACAGAAACTTAGCGAGTGCTAAAATTTTACTGGTTAACCTCCTGGGGTCGACAGTTACGGCGGCGGAACTTTTTGCAGATTTGAATGTTGACAGCGAAAAGAAGGAAAAATGTATTAATTAATTAATTAATTAAAAATAATAATAACAAATAAATATATGTGATAATTATAATTATTAAAGTAATTATACATTACATTTTTATTATTCAATGCAATCGAAATACAACTAAATTTATATGTAAATTAACATTAGTTAGATTATTAACATTAATTTATACTTTTACAAATGAGGAAAAAAAACTATTAAAAATAATTTTCATTAAGTGAAATAAATCTGAAATAAACTACAAATACTAGATGAAATACATTTAATACAAAAAAAGTGAAATTTTGCCTTGGCAACTAACTGAAATATGAAAATTACTGAAATATGCTGATAATAAAATTAAAACAGAAATGAAAAACAAATGAAAGCTAAATAGAAATATAACAATTAAAAACTAGCAAAAATAAAATAGATAAAACTAATAAAACAGTGAAAAATGTAAATGAAAAATGTTAATTAAAATGATACTGACAATATAAAAATAAAAGCAATCAAAATATTAATAAATACTATAATAGTATATAAATATTACTAAAATACCACTGGCTACATTGTTTTTTTCTATGCTTCCTGTGGCTCAATTCTGCTCCAATTAATTACATTAAATAACAACATTTAAATAAAATTACTGAATTTAACTTTAATCGAATAGAATTTATATAATAGAATATAATTTGTTAGAAGAGTAACAATTGATAGAATAGAATTTCAATAATTTATTGTACTAGTATTACATTTTAATTCATTTTAAATTACTTCAAACTATTCAATATTATTCAATTAATGTTAATATTCAAATAATATTAATATATTAAATAAATTATTGTAATTATCAATACAATTTTTTTTTTCAAACTGATTTAATACTGAATAATATCCATAGCTACTTCACACAAGATATTCGCATTATAATATTAGCATTAGTGTTGTCACGGTACCAAAATTTCAGTATTCGGTACCAATACCAGTGAAAATCCACGGTTCTCGGTACCAATTTCGGTACCAAAGCAAAACACAAAAACATGCTAATTGAACAACATTTTTATTAATAACGTTACACAAAAATTAAATGTACAAAACCAATGCCATTCTTTATACTTATTTAAAATTGTTTCAAGTTTTCCCACAAGTAATAAAAGTATGAAAAAAGTAAACAAGTTTCACCCAAAAGTTTAGTCATAGTTCTGCTGCCACTGAAAAACATCTGTAAACTGTTGTCTGTTTTAGGGTTTGCTGGTGTTTTCAGGATCTTCCTCCGTCTGCAGCTGTAAAAGAACAATATAATATACTTCAGTAAAGCAATGGGCTGAGTCTGACCAAATGCAACATTAGATCATTGACACCAGCTAAAATATAACTTTTCAGTAAATAACAAACCTCAGCTTTTATAATAAATTTAGATAAGATTTTTTAGTACCGACTTGGTACCGAAATACCGGGTCTTTTGACAACGCTAATTAGCATTACAATATTTTCTATCAAAAAGGCTAAATAAAGTGGCGGCAGTGCAGCATGTCAAAAATAAGCACCGTCTTGCATTGCATTGAGAAATTATGTAGATATTACAATAGGAGCGATCGAGTTGCGTCACACTGCTAGTTTCCAGTATCAACACAATCACGATTCACCTAGTTTGTTTGCCGGTCACAGAAGGAAGCGAGAGCCTTCAGAAGGCACCAAACACATGATGCTTTAAGAGTCATCTCTAGCCTTCATGTCCTTCCTCAGGAGTCAGAGAGAGACATACGAGGGTCACAAACAGGAAATGAGCTGGCACGGTGGATGGCACGCTTGGCACCAGGCTGGTGTTTGAGTTGAAATGAAGCCCTGTGCTCCGGCTCCAACAACAACTAAAGCTCTGAGAGCAAAGCAGCCGGGCGGCATCGGGCTGCCGCAAGCCCTCTCCCGCTGTTTGCCAACCCCTTAATATTGCATTATACCATAAAGAGCATGATTTTCTCTCCAAATGGACTGTTATACTTGAGACCGAGCAGAGCGTTTGCTCGGGAAATTCCCCATGTGAGCGAATGAAACGTTACTGGCTGTGAACCCAAAGGTGTTCACAACGTAATATTTAAGATCCATTGTTGTGGCAGTAACAAACCTCAATGGAGTGGCTTTCGAATGTCTGTGTCATTAAATCGGATGTTATTCTAATAGCTAGCTATATAAATTAGTAGTAGACTAGAGTGTAGTGCTGTTGCTCCATTTGACAAGCGCAAAGACGCACACAATGCTGTAAACACCACATCAGGACAAAAGCATCTCATTACGGCTCACGCTGAGACTAAACACAGAACAGACAGGTCTACTAACACACACCTCAACCCACAAAACACAGCAGACACTCCTCAAAGACTTCTAAAACACACACTCTCTCTCTCTCTGCACCAGACTCGTTCTTCACGCAACTCCTGTTCCAAATCCAACTTGTTTCAAGCTCTTGCAAACTTCAACTTGTTTTAATAAACATTGTTATATATTGTATGACAACAATATAATAACGTAATATAAAAGAGAACCAAAAGAAACATATTTTGTAAATTCATATCTTCATATAAATCGTGCAAAATAACATTTAATAAAATTCCATTGATATAATGTACATTATATTTGTTTATTAAATTATGTATAAATAAATTTAAAAAACAATAAAATATATTGATAAATATATTGAAAATATTAAAAAAATATAAGCAACTAAAATGTGATGTTTATTAATAAAGAAAGAAAGAAAGAAAGAAAGAACCATTAACAACATAGGTTTTTTATTTTTAATAAATATTTTATTACTTACAATTGTATTAATTATAAATTATTGTATATTGTAATTGCAAGTATTGTATAAATAATTATTCATAAACATATTACATAAATATTTATAAATATATTTAACTTATACATTAATAAAAATAAAATGCATATTTTGTCAATGGTATTTTGTAAAAAACAAAAAAAAAACAAATTACAATATATAGTAAAATATATTTATAAAATATTTTATATGCATTTTAAATATTTTCTTAATATTTATAATTTCATAAATTATTTTTACATTTTATTTATAAATGAATAAACATAAAATTCACATTATGTCAGTGGTATTTGTATAAAAATAAATTAATGTTAACAAATTTTCGTTTTGCATTTTTTTCTTACTATGTACTACAGGATTAATATTAATTACTAAAATATGAACAATGCTAACATTAATAAATACGATATTAATAATATTAACTTGTATGCAAGGTGCAACACACCTTTTGTGAGAATTGTTTTAAATTTATTTGGCAAAGGAACTGCAGGAACTTTCATTTTTTCACAAATATTTCTTCGTCACCATTACTAAAATAATTTTTAATTGTACAATTAAGGAACAAGAATCATTAAAAAATGTAAAAAAAA